ACATATAAATTCTGATTTTTATATTTCATCTAATAAGTGGCTTCATGTGTTATCTTAAAGTTGCTGGTATATGTCTCTTAGTTTTCTGACTCTTGGGCATTGCGAGAGGAGTTTTATACACCTGTAAGTCAAATAGACTTTTTCTGTTCTGAAACATTTAGCCTTCAAACACTTTTGAATAAACTTATACAAGCTGATGGTCTGCTAATTTAAAAAAATAATAAAGGATTGCCTTATGCAGTGCACTTGCAGACATAGCAGACATAACTCTTAACAATTTAGTAAACTATTTTGATTTTAGTGAACTTAAATTAAATTACATGAATAGCAACTCTTTATTCTCCTCTTCATTCCTTTTTTCTGGCAACCTCTTAACCAAATCAGAAATAGTTTATCTATTCCCTTATTTTTGCAGAAGGGCCAGCAAGTGGTTGAATTTGAGTTGCGTGTTTGAACCTGACTACCTGAAATAAGTTCTGGCTTTCTCTAAAGCTTGCATAGTCCTGCAGTCATTTAGCTCTTTCCTGTCCACTCTTACCTTCTCCGTGTCCTCAAGGTGTCTTGCAAGCCTTGCAGGTAAACTGGAGTCACTTTGTCTGGGCATCCATCCTCCACTGTCCGGTTGCGACAGCGCGTGCTAGAGAAGGTGGTGTTCGACCTGCCAGACAAACCGGGGAGGGTGAGGGCAGCGTCCCCTCAGCTGTGCGAGGCTCAGGCGAGCGTGGCAGCGTGCACAGGTACTTGTTTGTACAGGGATGCATGTATCACCTCCCACTTGGTGTTCTTAAAGTGGCACAATCCTTTCCAAAGAAAGGATGAAGCAGTTCTGCCTTGACCACCGTTTGCTCAGGATCAGCGAAACGATAGCTGGCTGTTCACATGTGCGTGAGCTGCTTTAGGAGATGATCACTTGTGGTGGAAAATTGATGGCCCTTTTTTTGACAGGAAACCACTTATTTCCTTGTAAATAAACTTATTTACTCAGAAGTGAATAATCTGATAATAATAACAATGAGTCAGAATCAGAGTTATTTAATGACTAGCACATGCAACCTTCAGAGCAGGAGGGCTGATACCCCTAGGATTACTGCAGATCCAAGGGATTCATACACTCAACTCTTCTTATATATGTTCAACAAACCACTTGTTGCTTACATGCTTAGCTTTATTTAAATATTTGAAAAATCAGCTACAGTCGGGCTGCTGCAGTATCTATTTTATGCAGTGAAAAGCACATAGAAACCCTTTCAGAGGCTTTGCTAAGGCAGCTCTAGCTCTGCTCCACACTTGTGGAGGTGGCACTAAGCAGTCCCTGAGAAACAGCCCTCTTACCTGTACACAGTACTGCATCTAGCACTTGTCTGATGGCAAAGATGTGAAGGCCACTGCAGCCTGGGGTAAAAGCCTTTTGGTGGGGACACTGACATCTGTGCAACTGTCTTGTGTGGAGATAGCCAACGGGGTAGGTGCTTGCATCTACTGAAACCAAAGTCCAGACTTCAAGCATCTCCCTTTAGACCTCAAAGTCGCCTAATTGGCAATGGTTCTTTCAAACTCCTACAACACACAAAATATGAACTAGGGTATAGGAAATAACTATTATTAAGTCTTTTCTGTGAAGGATAATTTTTGTAGAGTTAGAAGCAATTTTCTGAATGTTTTTTTGGGGAAAGAAAAAATTTGTTTTTTACTATACAAGGCAGAATCAGTAACACTTGTCCCCTAAACTTGACATGTGACTTCCATCTCTGATGTTTGACACTAATATTTCATTGATCTTGCCCAAACCAAGTTCCGTTTAAGTTTCTTTCTTTGCATGAAATCTGCTTATCCTGTTTTTCACTGGCTCTTAAGACTAATATAATTTTAATCTTAATCCTGGTGGTGGTGGTGGTACTTTCAACTTTGGAAGCGGTGCTCTCCGTTGGCTGAAAATTGAACATTATACAATTTGGCTTGTCTGCAAGCCAGGTGGTCCAGTACATGCACAAGTACTGGTAAATACATGGTGAAAGGCAGCAGTCTTATAAGGCACAGCTAGTATTTAATTTTAGGATAGGCTGGACTAGGCTTTTAAAGTAAGTTCTGAAACATTTATGAAAACAACTTTGAAGTAAAGAACTGCCAGCCTTGGGGAATGCTGTCTTTCTACAAATCAGATGATGCTGTGCTTCCCTTTCATTCCTCTTTAGGAAATAACTTAGGTGTCCAGATGCCAAACCAATCTGTTTCCCAGGCCAAGAGCACTGGTTCCAGAGCTGCCTGCTGTCAGCAGGGTTGACTGGAGGCAGCAACTTCAGGCAGGGTGAGAAATATCTGCTTGCTTTGAGGTTTTAGGTCCTCATCTATTACCACAAGTAGCTAGAGTGTCTGAAAGGGGCTGGCATCTGTAGCTGTGGAATAACATATTAAATCCTTTATCCTCTTCCCTGGGACAACACAGGGGAAAATGCCCAAACTCGGGGTGGTCGGGGAACAGTTCTGCTGTGGCATGTAGTCATTAGATTGACACTGAAGGCAGCCACTTTCTTTCATACACCTACAGGTAACTCTGATTTTGAGATAATTCTCTAACCCCCTGGAGACGAGCAGGATAAAATAAAAAACTTACCGTGATTTAAAAGTTTGAGGGGGTCCAACTTTGTTCTCAGGCTGATGTTAATCATTGTAAATTTTCTAAACTTTATTGGAATATGATGAGTGGAAAACTACTGTATGAGGTGATGCCTGTGCTCCTGTTTCCTCGTGCTTGTGGCAGAGTTTCACAACAGGGCTCACGCAAAGCTGAAGACTGGGTGGGTGAGCCAGTTGATGGCTGCAGGCAGATACTGGTGAGCTGTAAAATGTTTGTGAGCAAGAATAGAATTTGAAAGTGAAACAGTGCCTATGGCCTCTTTAAGTCCTCATTTACCCTCTATGTACCTGTTTCAACTGGATTAATGTAGCAATGCAACAGTCTACCTAGAACTTGTGTGATATAGGATTCAGTAGTTTATATTTTGGCTGTATTGTCCAGAAACAGGGCATTAGTTAACAGCTTGTGGATTTCCTTGTGCTGAATAGATGCATTGGATCAGCTGAGGACTTTGCTCACAGGACTTTTCTCTCTGCATATGTTGGGACAACTTTACACTTCCCAGAACAGGGAAACACAGTCCTATTTAGTATGCATTATTGTGATGAAGGATCTGAATATTGCTGAAGTGAATAATTAAGTAACCTATGGAGGCAGACCACCTGCAGGCACTGCATTGTTCAAACAGAAAGGTGTCTTGGTTGGACGTTAGCCTTGTTGCATTAATCATCCTAAGTAAATACCTTTAAGATAAATTGCTTAGTTTGCAGAGAATAACAGCAAGAATGATTCACAGGCCATGACACCAAGCAGAGGGCTGAATGGAGGCCAGGAAAAATCCATGCCTTCTCATAGAGCAGGTGGGGAGAACGTGTATTCAAAATATT